CCACCATGGATAGAAGCTCATCAAGATGTAGGTTCTTACTGGAGGTAAAACATTCCATCTTTGCAAGGAAGCCTATTGAACTCAAGAAGTAAACACCAAACTGACTGGATTCACTGGGGGCTCTCCCTCCCCAAGTTTATATAAGTTGTAAGGACTGCTGAGAGCCACTCTCTGATCAGCCTAGTGGCTTGGAAGAGGCAGGGACAGAATGAAGGAGGACGCTTAAAAGAAATCCCACCTTAGCCCAGAATTGAGTATAATAGAGGGTTATTTATTTAGGGGTAGACTCACAGATCACAATCCTCTGCTGGAACAGGGAACAACTGAATCCTGCAGCTGGAAAAGAGGTTGGGCACGTGCTTTACATCAGCATAATAGTATAAGAGGCCACACCCAAGTGGGTGGGTAACTTAAAGGATACTGGTGGTAGGAATTCCTACAGCACCAGGCAAGCTGCCTGGAAGAGGCTCAGACAATGCATAAACTCAGTCACCTGGAAAATATCCCTTGCAACCTGTTGAACTGCCTGCAGGCTGTGCAGTGTGCTCCATGTTTACAACTTTTGTGAGATGTCACCCATGCTGGGGTGGGCTTTGTTGATGCAACTGTCTTTGAGTCATTTCAGCTCTCAAAACCCTCAGGCATGTTCTTGTAAGAAACCCCAATAAAACTCATTCTTTCACTATGTTGGACCTTGGTGTTATCCTTACTTTGGTCTGCGGTTGGTTCTGGGATGAGTAGACACTTTTCTTCCCACATCTCTCCTGAAATACTGTCACAACACTTCATATGCTTGGGAAATGATTTTATTAAAAGTGCTACCAATCTTAGCCTCGACCTCTTTGTCTGTAAAATGGGATTCTAATAGTATCACCTGACAAAGTTGTTGTGAAGATTGGATGAAATAATAACCATAAAGAACTTAGGGGTAGGCTTCAGATGGCTCACAATTGACACACGCTTACAGGATTAGTACTATTATTAAGTGGGCCATTAAGTGTGCTGTGAAGGTACTTTGTATTCTCAAATGGCAATAGGGGAGTTTTCTTACGGCAGGCAGTGAGCCTCTACTTACTTTTTGCTTGGTTCCCTCTTCTACCCTTCCATACAAGCAGCATGTTGGGAATCCTTTCTAATCAACAGCCCTACCCACACTTTATGATGCAGTATAGAAGGCTGCCTCAGATGCTACCTCTGAACAGTATGTTCATATTCATGGCTTTTTAGAACATTTAATATCATGTTCTTTTAATTTTCTTCCTCTGTCTTGAAGTGTTAGATGACTTGCTTAGAAAACTTGTACCTCTTTTCAATAAGAAACAGCTATAAATGCCAGGCTCCAATGGGGAAATTTTGAATGGTGTCCCCATCTGCTGACTTCATTTTTGGGGGCTCCAGGTCTCTGCAAGGGTTGGGAAATGGCTATACTTCAGGACCTCAGTGTTAAGTAGACCAGAGAGGCCAGCACTGAGGCTGCTCAGTTCTGGTTATGGATTCTGTAACTTGGGTGAAGATGAAAGTAATAACAGCTAATGTTTCTATGTATGTAGACAGAGATTAAGTGTATCGGTATTTGCAAGCATGGGTATCGAGCCTTACTAATAGGAGGAAACCTGTGGCTCTCATATACATTCTACTATTCTAACTTATTTTGTCTTTGCAAAAGACATCTCCAGTTAATTGTATGCAATAATAAAGGAATCAGTAAACAAAAGGTCTTATCAAGTCCAAGGTTTAGTTGACTACCAGCCGGCCCCTGGGAGTCCTATGACCCAATTAAAAGTGTCTGATAAATGAAAACTGAAGTTTTTCTCTTCCCAACATGAACTCTCATTTCAATAAGTCATTCCTGTCACCTATTTTTGATAACTGGGTTAGCTATTCTTCTCATTTTCACTTCTTGAATAGCATTTCTCTTTGACTCTACCCTGAAAATGCATATAAATTTTTAAATAAGCCTCTCAGCTGGCCAGTTTCTGGAAGGATGTTTCTGCAGGGTGACCTGATTACTCCTGTTATCTGGGTCAGCAGTTTGGGGAGGGAGCTTCTGAGCCATGGCTAACATCTAAAATGTTGCTGTCCTGAATGTAATTTGTCATTCCTGGTGTGGTGCTAGGTGTGTTACATTTCTCAGTGACTCCTTGAGGGAGCAGGAGGGTTCCAATGGCTGAGGGTAAGTTATTCAGGGACAGTGCATCTGCTGCCATTATTATACATACCTTAGAGATCTGATCTCTTTCCATCTGCATAGCACTCACACACGAAGTCTTGGGTTGAATGTTGGTGCCTTAGAAAGGGACACCATGTAGACAGTGTTGACTCTATTTTATGAGGCTGTTCCCCAATCCTTTGGATGAAACAACTCAGCTTCATGCTTCAAAGGGTAGCTCATTCCTAGTCTCTGGGTAACAACAGAACTCAATATTTTCAGTAGGTATCTGAGTAGAATTAAGTGATATATCCCAATTCTGCATCTACACATATGTATATATACAAGTGTGTATTTGTGTATATCTCCAGTGAAGGATTTGTATTCAGAAAACATAAAGAACTATAACTCAATTGAGTGTAATGTATAACCTAATAAAGAATAGATAGAATAAAGAATAATTTATACAGGCATATTATAAAAGGAAGTATCCAAATCTCTTTAAGGGAATGATAAGATACTTATCATAACTTCTTTACTGTATAAGTTATCATTACATATCACCAAAGACTAAAACTGCTAAAAACCTGGCTCTCTCAAATGCTGACTTGAATAAAGAGCACCAGGGCTCTTTCAGATTGCAGGAGGAAAGGGAACCCAGTGCAGTCACTTTAGAGAACCATTGGGAATTACATACCAAATTGCTCTGTACTGAGATATACACCTATGATCTCTGGGGAAAGTAGGGCATCCGACGCTATGTCTCTGAAATGCACTTCCCCATCCCTAAGGTTCTTGTCAAGTAAAGAACTATGAGAACAGACTGAGACTGGAAAATGCAGATAAAAGTCCACCTACTCCTTACACATACCAGGAATCAGGGCATCAGCTTCGTCTCCACAGGCGATACGCCTTCCTGCACCTATGCTTGGTCATCGGCTCCTTGGAAGCTGTGGCACAAGGTCAAAGTGAGCTAATGAGGCACTGCTCCCTAGGCATTCTAGCTTATGAAACCCCTTCCTCGATAGTAAGAAGTCCAGGACTGAGCATTATGGGGAGGAGAGTCGCTTTTTGTCTAGCTTGCCCCGACTGGTGAAGTTTCTGAGGTGTTCCATTGGCCACATACAGTCTTCATGGACCTAGTGAATAGCAGTACTGTTATCCCGTTGTAGTGGTCTTTCACTTATATTTTAAAAAATAAAGCTTGCCCGAAGATCAGAAAAGTAAGACAACCACACCGACCAGCCTTACAGACCAGGCAGCAATGGCACACACCTTTAATCTCAGTAGCCACACTAGCTTGCCACAGAAACCAGGTGGTAGTGGTACATGTCCTTAATCCCCAAACTAGAGAGGAATATAATATGGGAGAAGACAGTTCTCAGTCTCTGTCTCCTTCTGAGCTTTCCTGGAGGTAGGATCACCATTTTTGGACTGAGGCCAAGGTAAGAGCCAGTGGCTGGCTGCTTTGCTTTTCTGGAGAGGCAAGCTTTATTTACTAAAATACAAGTGAAATACCACTATAGCCCATGCATGTGCTTCATGGGTTCTCCTTGTTAGTAAACTTTCCTTGTTTCACACCAGGTCTTAGCATGCTGTTTTCAGAGTCTACAACCCTTCTGATTGTTCTATCACACTATGGACATAACACTACTCAGGGAAATGGTTGTATCATGTGAACCGGATCTGTACATATGGAAACTGCTTATGGTAATAAGATGAGGAACAGCCTATCTGCCGATTGTCATATATTTTCTATCAATATGAAGACCATTGGAGACAGGATTGGTCCTTAACTGTTCGTGAATGGAAGACCATTAAGGGATTGGACAGTAATGAATGCCTGTGTCAGGAAGTTGCATTTGGTGGTAGTCTATAGAATTCACACAGGAGCATTTAACAGTCTCTGTAATATAAAAAATACAAAGCTATCCAGATACTGAAGTAGGTTTTATTTCTCATTAAATGTATGAATGAAATGGTGAGATATTGTCCAACTCAAAATAATACCTAACCAGTAAATGTGCTCTGTATTTCACCTGTTGAAACCTTTTTTTTTCTTGAAAAGAATTTCATCGCTAAATGTCAATCAATAGTATGCTTATTTTTGGAAAGTTTGTTAGCAATAACTGGAGTGATTCATATTTTCAACTCTGTTGCTTGCAACAGTGAAATTTTGTTGCTGTTTTGCTGTTTGGCTTGACTGACCAGTTAAGCCAATAAAACTAAACTTGTTGAGGTTTGGGGTTAGTTTGATCCTAAAATTAGAAACTGGAAAGATAAAAGCCGCTTTCTTTCATTCCTATTGAATTACTACTTATTGAGTACTAGAGTTAATATTATTTTTATTTTTAGGTAGTTTATTAATTGGCATATGATTATTATAACCCTTTAGCTTACAACATTTATCTGGAGAATATATAATACATTATTTGTGTGTGTGTTGTGCGTGTGTGTGTGTATGTGTGTGTGTGTGCATGTTTGCCTGTATATAGGTACATGAGTATATGTAGATATGAATACGCATGGAGACCAGAAGTCAACTTGGTTATATTTCCTCAGATGGTATCTACCTTATTTTTTAAGACATGGTCTCTTACTAGGACCTAGGGCTTATGGATTAGGGTAGGATGACTGGCTAGTGATCTGTGGGGATCGGTCTGTCTTTACTTCCCTAACTGTGGGATTGCAAGTACATGCCACCGTATTTGATATCTATCTATCTATCTATTTATTTATTTTTATTTATTTTAACATGGGCGCTGGAGAAAGAACTCAGGTCCTCGTGAGACTAATAACTTCAAAAAGATGTACTACGTGACAATAGAAAAGCAAATTATATTTGCTTTACTAGTAGGTTTTCTTTATTAGTCATAGATACTCATACATCACATGCAAGAAAGTCACAATACAGCCCAAAATGTTTATGGATTCTGGCACAGCAACAGTAACACAATGCAAGAGTTTACATGTTGCTTTTTTACATACAATTTCCATGAAAGAGTCAAACAGAAATGCTGCAAAACGAATTCAGCAGGGTTCTTAATGCTTGGTATACTAGTCAATACTTTGATCTGTGTAAGAGGCATTATCATACAACAGGTAATTGTTGGAAAAGCTACAGTTGATCATCTTTTCCTACCTGGAAGTGTGCACAATATAGAATGATAGTTTAGTCTTTTCTGCAAGCGAGGGTGTTTGTTTTTGTAATAATAACATTATTGTAGGGTGAACATAATAAGTAAACAAATAACCAAACATTAAAGGAAGGACTCTCAGGAAAGAATGCTGTGTGCTTTGGACCATTCCTCTGTGAATCATCACAACAAGCCAGAAAAATATTTTTGAAAGGTGTGTGCATGCGCACACGCGTGTGTGTTTGTGTTAGGGAAGTTGTGAAAAACCTAGCTAGGCAGCATGCTGTGTTCATTGCTATGCCCATGGATTTTACACACAGTTTTGGAAGATATGTTTGTGGTTTTATTTACATGGGTATAAAAATCTGCAAAGCATGAACTATGTCACACTTCTTTTTATTCTTATTTTTTTATATGCTACTTACTGGCATTTCTCCATCAATTAAAATGTTCTACTGTCATAGAATCTGACCTAATATGCTGACAAGCGTGATTCCGGATTGACTTCACCCCTGAATTTTGAGGAAAGAGGTCAGTTCCAGTCTTCTCTCATAGCCCAGAATGCAAAGAAGTGATGTTTGGGTGGGAGGCTCAAAGCTCTACTTGGAGTAGACTCAGTGCTATGATCCAAAGAAGGACACTTCTGCCTCCTCTTCTGCAGCTGGAGAGAAACGCAGCTCCCAGGCAATGGTCCACTTAAAACACTTGAACTTAACTACGTGAGAATCTAACCAAATCATTACTAGAGTTTGACTTTTTTTTCTTTGCTGAAGGATTATGGGTTGTTTTTAAACACTGTCATTGGTTAACAGAATTTCAGATGCAATTAAAACTTTGGAGTACATCTTTTTTTTTTCCCTATTTTTCTAGCAGAACTTTTCTGGACATCAAGCGTGCATTGTTGGTGTTATGAAATATTCAGTGACAAGCAACACGCCTGATGCTTAGACTTATGCTTTTCCTTAAAAAGAAAACTTGTTTACTTTTTCCATTGGCTAAGTGTTGTTCAATGTATTTTAGAAAGCTCCATTTGCAAACACATTTGCTTACATTTCATGTAACATAATGAGATGAAAGCAAGACCACTGCACTTTTCAAACAATAACTATTAATTAGGTGAAAAGCTCAGGGAATGTCTTGCTAAGTGGAAACTGTCAGTTTATCTGGTTCTAATTAAATTAAAATATTATCTACCTGTTCATATATTTCTTTCATATTGGTAGATGTGTTTCTAAAGGCATATAGAATTACATATAATGGCACTGATAACATTATGATCTCTATATAATTGCCACGGAACAGGGATGTGTGCTAATGCTTTTAACAGTTCTGACTAGTTTTGTGGTTGATTTTCTCAAACTTTGTGTACTAAAATTCTAACTTTATTTCAATGTGTGGGCTCTCCAACATTACTTGATGCTGACATGAAGTTGCTTTGCTATAAAGTATTATAAAAGACGGAATAGGTCTAAGCCCCTATGCTCTTTTAACACGACAGTTTCAAACTGACTTTTTCATATAGAGCCAATCTACCATCATTTTCCTTATTCTCTCTACAAATACTGAGCAAATGAGAACCAGAATGATCACTTCTGATTGAAAATTTATATCCAAAAATAGCCCAGCCATTCTCTGGCAGTTCCCACTCACTGGATTTCTCTTTTTCTTTCCTTTGATTCTGTAGTTAGCTCTTTTCTTCATGGTGTCCGTGGTTGATGGCTTCCAGCTGTCTCCGAGAAGCCAGGCTAGTTAGAGAACAGCCAGCAGGATGCTTCCTCTGTCTTCCAAATCAATAAGAAAACAGTAACTGAATTGATCTCTCAATGGTTTAGTGACGCTTCAGCCTCACCGTTAGGAAATCAACGCTTGAAAATAGATACTCTGGGTTTATAAGCACAGCCATGCTATCTTTCCCTACAGATCACACAGTGGGTGGTCCCAGTGCCTGGATTTTGCTGGAATTTGTTGTATTGTACATTGTAGTGGATGGAGCATCTATGACTGCAAATTATCGTCTATAATTTAGTTTATAGATTATTTAAAATATTTGATTAATTATAAAGATGAGTAGGCATGCATCATTGGGATTAATGCCATTTCCTTTTGGTTCCTTCAATAAATGGATAGAGTTTATAAAAACAGTTGAAACAACCTGGTAGGGGAGCTCTTGACCGTGACCCTGGCATGAGACTGAGGCAAAAGGATTGACAAGGGTTCAAGGTTAGCCATGGATACAGAGAGAGTGTCAGAATAACCTGGAATACAGAGTGAGAACCTATCTCAAAAAACATACAGAACAAAACAGCACCACCACCAGCAGCAGCAGCAACAGCAGCAGCAACAATAGAACAAACAAAACCTCTCCAAAACAATGAACAAAACCCAACGAACGAAACCTAAAGCCCCTGACAGTTCTTCAGGCTAGCTTAGAATCTTCTTATTTTGCCCCAATCATGTCTACGTTGAGTGACAGAGGGGACTCTGAGAACACTTGGCAGGTTACTATCAGCAGGGCTGGGATTATAAATCCCTCAAATAACCTGTCACTTGAATCTAATTTGTATAGATTCGGTAGCTGGCATGGAGAGAACCAGCTGGGTAGGAGGCTGTTGAGTTTCTCTATTCCCTTGAGAAATAAAGGCCCAGAATTTCCATAGAGCAAATGCGTTGTGAGTTAATTCAGCCCGATCAGTAGCAGTGCCCCACTGAGTAGGAGTAGGGGTGAGACTGGGGGCAGAAGGGAACAAATTGTATCATAGCGAAAGAGAGTAACCAGGGGCCTTGTTATTTTCTGGTTTTCTGTACAGACCCCTGCGGAGGCAGGAGCAGGCAATGGGAATCAGGTTTGCCACCTGCAGAGATTCAGGAGAACAAGAACCAGCTGATTGTGTTTCTTGGGTTGGTAGGATGGGCATTGGACATTAAATGCTAAATGGCTCTGTATTTAAAATGATAGAGCACAGCAAGCCATTAATAGACATGGATGGTGAAGGGGAGTGGCCAGCCAAGAAGTCAGGCTGGGGGCTCAGGTCTGTCAGTAGGAAGTGCTGACAGGGGGGCATTACAAAGGGAAAGCCATCTAGGACAGAGGCAGAGGGGGAGATGGTGGGTGTTTTTCTATGGAGAATGCATCTGTGCATTTTTTGAGATTCTGTTCCTTTAAAAAAAAATCGAATCGCAAGGTGGGAAGAAGGACCTATGTCATAGACAGCCTTTAAACACTCTTTTCCTGAAAGATATTTTTGGCGGCTAACTATTCCTATTATGGTGTATGTGACAACGTTGACATGAAATGTGCCTCCTCTCACTGAAACGGCTTCTGCGCTCTCTCCAAAGTCGAGAAGGGAGCATGCGCGTTCTACGTAGGCGTTGCATATGTCGCCGAAAGCCTAATTGCTATTAGAGGAATTTTAAACAAATCTTAGATTTCTTGTGCTGTGAGAAGCAGACTCTATTTGTTCCAACTCTGGGTGGCAGCTGCTCATTGAGAAACAACGTTTTTTTTTTTTTGTTTTTGTTTTTGTTTTTTTTTTTTTGAGATGGAATTAATACTAATTTTCTTTTAAAACTACAGGTGTCATTTGATCATTATAAATACGTCCGTGTTTATGTTGAAACACACAGGATCGCTCTGGTTAATACTGGGTGATTTAGGTGAATGAGTGAGTGGCACTGGGTTTGCATTTTGTTTTCTTCTTCCAGGTGTGTGTGATGGTAACACCTGTAAACGCAGCCCATAGGCTGAAGTAGGAGGATCATGAGATCAAGGCAGCTGGGGTCATATTGTGAACTGGAGGATAATCTAGGTCTTGGGAAGAAGTGAGAAATAAGAAAGGAAAAGAAAGAGGGCGGGGTTGTGTTTGCTGACGCTGTAACCTGTAGGATAATATCCAATGAACACGGTATAACCCGGGAAACACTGAAGGAAACACACCTATCAGATATGAAAGTAAGATATGAAAGATGCTTCTAGACGCTGGGCCCAGTTTATGAGAAAGAGCCATTTTTCAGGATTCTTCTCATTTTACGCTTAATAATAGACTTTTCCAAATCATTCTGCCCTTCTTATAAGCTTGTACTGAGGACTTCAGCAAATCTGTACTTGTGGCTGCACAGAGGAAGGCAGGAGGGGTCCTGTTTTCTCCTGCTGTGTCTCCCACCCATGGCCCAGTGGCCCCACCCACTTTTTATATTTCTACTTCTAAGCCCCGGTCGTCTGCTGTTGGCAGTGTATAGTGTCTAAAACACAGCCATGCTAGTTACATTAAACAGGACCCCTCATCTGCTGACACTACGAGAGACCATGGACTCACTCCACGGTCGTCATCACACACTGTACACAAGAAGTTGTTGGCATCTGTGTCTCCTCAGTCCCTGAACAGTGGTCCATTCCATAGCTCCTGGCACTTTTTACGACAGCGGGGAACAAAGACTAGAGGGTGAAACTATTTCCAGTGAAATTCAATTATCTCCTGTATAGAGGTCACGAACTTGGGCTCCTGCCTTAAGCCTCAGTGCCAGAGGCCTTAGATACAGTGTGTACACCTGCTCTCTGAGTAGTCTCCAAGCAGGGAACAAAGATATGTTAGTGTTACCCCACAGGTGGCTATGTCCAGCAACGTCCCTGAGCTTCCCATAGTCACTGTTTTATTGGCTTCAGCACTGATAGTTTTCATTTACGATAGGAAACATTTAGTACAATGACAGGCCAAAATTATTTTTTTAAAAACATTGTATAATTTAATCCTAATCATTTCTTTTTGTTCATTTTCCTTATCTTTAGATTGCAATGGAAAATTAACTCTGCCAGACTGAGGGTTCTCATTTCTCTGTGTCCCTGAGCTGCAAGGTAGTTCTAGCTTGCAGACATTAAAACTTCTATCTTTCTATCAAAAAACACCGGTAATGCCTTTCTGGCTTTAGAATGTAATTTAAAATGAACCAATTCATCGTGTATTTTCTTTTGTAACAGATGATATGGAAGAGCCTTGTGCACACATGTATGACCCTTGCAGAAAAAAAAAAACAAAAACAAAAACAAAAAACCATGGGTCAAGTCCTAAATCAAGTCCGCTTTTCTCTCAGTCATATGCCAGGTAGTTCCCACCCAGAGTAGGTCATTGTTCAGAAACAGTGAGAACTGAAAAGGGGCGCTGTGTGTAGAAACAACACTGTGCTACCCCCAGAGAAAACGTGTGCCATACAGCATCCTGAAAGCAAGAATGTTCTTCCTCCGCACTTACATTCAGATACTTCACTCTCCCTAGTGAGTCTCATTTGCGTTATCCATTTTAAAACCCTGAATCTTTTTAAGATTTTGGTTTTAGTTACTTCTAACAGAAAATGTAAAAACTGCAATATAAAGCTCATCTATCCTGGGATGTAACATCTGAGAAATGGAGGTTATTAGAGGCATCATTGAAAGGAAACATTAAAACACTTATCTTGTTTTCTTTTCCTCCTCTAATGGATACATGGCCGGGTCCATGTAATTATAGCCAATCAGCTCCGAGACAGTAAATCCAGTTATTCTGATCCATGACAGCTGTCTTCCAGAAACTGTGAAGCATATTGGTGTCTTGTTGGACAGATAAAGGGATACACATTTTACAGTAGCATCTGCTGGCTGCATGCAGACTCTGGAACCCTTGTCAGGAGCAGGACCAAGGGTCTTGTTCTCTACTTCCATCTCCATAGAAGATGACAAAAGTTTAAAGTGGTGAACTTGGCTGTTACTCCAGATCTAAAATTGGGCGACTGCCAAATCCCAACAGCATGTCACATCCAAAAAAAAAAAATCTAGTCAAACAGGACTTTTCTTAGAAATGTTACATCAAAGATTGACATCTTATCAAGGAAATATTGATATTTAGTCAAGAACAAAAAAGACCAAGATAATGATTATGACATTACAAAAAATGCAAATCTTTAGGGAGAGAGGTTTGGATATTGTTAGTATTTCATATTCAAGTAACTACATAGGATTGAGAAACAGATCACATCTTTTTTTATATGGTTGTTTGAGTCTGTCTTGTAATTATGTTTATTGGCTTCGTATTTTAAAAAATGCTTAAACTTTCCTGTCACCTAACAAAACATCTCTTGTTTTATCATGCTGTTTTAGAAGGCATCAGAGAAAATAATCTAAAAGAAAGCATGCAGAATGGCAATGCTATGGAGAAACAAAGATAGCAAAACTTGTGGCTTCTGGCTTGGATGGCATGATGGGTAACTTCATAAACTTAACTTGGGAACCCTTGGAGGACAGCGAGGGAATTAGGGAGGCCATCCCCATATTGTAGCTCCCAGAAAGTCATTTCAGTGTGGGAATTAACCACTCTGCAGCTGACACCGTGTTTGGCATCCCCTTCATTTTCATTATGGAGCTAGGGAGAGAGATATGTTCCTTCAAACAATACAAAACCAAGAAATGGAGGTGGCCCTGATGTCTTAACTAGACAATGATTTCAAGGTGAACATTGTAGGTCAAACATAATATATCCCCTTACAAAAGACCAGAAAGGTGACTGGGTTAGAGGTCAGAGGTAGCGTTTACCTTAGGGTTTACTACAATGAACTCAACAATTGATAGTTTCTTTTTGATAAGGTCATATGTATTTTCTTGAAAATAGAAATTCTATGCACAGAGGGGTCATCTTCTGTGATGACCCCAGCTCACATACCATAGAGTATTGTGATCCACTAAGTATGTTTCTGGTGGTCCTGTATACTAGCTGGATTCAGTAGTATCATATAATATCTTCCTTCCCAGTGCTTGGTACAGTATGAATGTCTCTCATGTGCAGGATGAAGTAGCCAGAGAGGGCAGACTTTGAGTGATGCAGGACCAGGTGGTTACCTAGGAAACCAGAGCCTCCTACTCAGTCCAACAGCAACCAGATTCCAAGTAGATGGTGGCCTCTAAGCTCAGCAAGGCTCTGGATGGCATGGGAACCTAGTTAGGGCAATGGAGCAGTTTCTGCTTCCAGGTTTTCTAGCTGAAAGAAGAAAAAGAGCAAAGACAGTGAGTGCTTGGGGACTGGTCAGAGGGCACACTCATGTTTATCTTCTGGATTTTAGAACTGTCATGTGCATCTTTATCTGCAACCCATTTTGTTAAGTGCTCAGACAACGATCAATATTTTAGTTACGACAAATGTCTCGGGTCATTACAAATATTGTTTTACATGTACTTTCTTATAAAACAGTAATTGATAGTTTTCTTGAAAATTTTTATTTATGTTTCTTTAGCTAGAATTATACTAAGTAGCCTAGGCTGAGCTTAGATTAGAGATCCTCCTGCCTCAGTTTCTTGAGTGCAAGATTGTAGAAATGTGCCGCTTTAATAGGACTTAGAAAATACATCCTAAATAAAATTCCTTCTTGATGTGGAAGTGATTTCTTATTAACAAAGAAAACGCCTAGGCCCATTTGATAGGCCAACCCTTAGGTAGGCAGAGAAAACAGAACAGAATGCTAGGAGAAAGAAGCTGAGTCAGAGAGTCACCATGATTCTCCCACTCCAGACAGATGCAGGTTAAGATCTTCCCTGGTAAGGCACCTCGTGGGCTACACAGATATTAGAAATGGGTTAGATCAATATGTAAGAGCTAGCCAATAAGAGGCTGGAATGAATGGGCCAGGCAGTGTTTAAAAGAATACAGTTTCCGTGTAATTATTTCGGGTAAAGCTAGCTGTGTGACGGGAAGCAGCCCTGCTGCTCCTATTACAGCACCTTCTCTTTGTTTACATTTTCCTTTCCTTGACCTCATTAGTGACTGGAGCAAAATCCCCCAAAAAGAAATTGATTGACTTTGTTTTACAACTTATTTCTAGATGAAAACATTTTTTTTTAATTTTACAACCAATTCTTAAAATTTCTTTCTGTTTTCCTCTCAAGTTGTGGGTGTGGAAGACATGACATTCAACTCCCAGTGTGAAAGCGTGTCCATTGAACAGTAGCATGAATTCTGCCTGGGTGTGTGAGAATTTTGTGTGGAATTTTCAAGTAAGCTAAGAGAATTATGAGAATGGAATGTCTTGCAATGAAACAAGTTATTTCTCCTGTCATAACTGGTGAGCTATGAGGGTGTCTGCATGGCAAGTATAAAAAGTTGCAAGGGATTTTTTTTTAACAAAAATTAACTTATTTGAGTAAGTTTTGAACGTCAGGATAGGTGCAAAAGTTGAGTGGTACAAAAGGTGTTTGTTCACTGCTTACACAGATCCGTCTGCTAACAATTATCCCACAGACTTTCTCCCCTTTTGTCTCTTCTCATCTGTTTGCTTGTCTATGTGTGCACACACATTCACACATACATTTTTAACCCATTTAATGTCATGCCGATACGTATTTCCTAAGAACAAAGACTGGATCAGATTGATTTCATCGTTAGGCGGGACAGCTCGTCATGGACGGGAAGGCACTGAACAGTGTTGCTGCTTGTGCCCTGAGCTGACCGTTCCTGTAACCTGTCACGTAGGTAGCTGCGATGGCACAGATTAGCACAACCCTGAGCATTCTGCCAGTGCTTGTTCTTAAGGAAGCTTTGGTTGTTGCTCCCTCGGGGGCTGAGACTTTGTCTTTGGGTCTCTCCACTGTGACAGAAGCCACTGTGTGTGTAGCTGCCATCTGGTCTCTTTACATTACCCTGTGGGATTCATGGATAGAGGAAGTAGCACCAACACTCTCAAGGTCTGTTGTTTGCTGCACCGTAGTGAACTGAGTCTTATTATCTCCTCACTACAATCTGTGGAGTGGCTGCAGGGAAGCCACTGCCTGCTTGGTCATCTCCTTTGGAGTCTTGCTACCGTTTGCCATCTTCGAAGAAGTCGGGATCCAGTGCCAAAGTGGTATAAGATTCAGGATGTCAAGGTAGGCAAGGAACTTTTACAATAGAGAAAAGACAAACGTTCGTGGTCTGTTTTCAGGCACATTTGGAGAATTTTCTGTGGCTTGTAAAAATGTGTGCATGTGTGGGGTCAATGAATTGTCCACCTCTGTCCTACCTCTAGATAAAAATGAGTTGGGATAATCTGTGGAGGCTGATGAGAGAGGGGTAAAAGTTAACAAGTGTTTATAGTTGCTGCCGGTGGAGGGGTGCATACTACGAATCCTATCAGGGATTCCTAGACTTAAGTTGAAAGCAGAAACATCCAAAGGGCAGCATGTCCCCCAAGACAGGGTCACAGCAGAAACCAGTAGTGATAGGGAAAGGAATGGAGAACAGGAATTCTTTGATTAATAATTTATATGCTCTGAGCTGCTGGCTTCCCATCATTGTGAAGATGGCTGGCTCATAAGAGACCCTATATTTAAGGAGAGAAACTATCATCAATACAGACTCACGTCTCACAATGAGGATGACTATTGATGGCTATTCTGAATTTGTTTTAATCACTACCTATGACTGGCATGTAAAAATCTCTCTTCTTGATTCCATGGAGAAGCTATTCAAAATGTGAAAACTGGAAATTCTCTCTGTGCTGAATGGAAAGACCCTCCCTCCCTAGGAGTATAACTACTGGGTTTATAAAATCACCCTTTTCTCTGCAAAGTCAAATCCTTCACAAACCCATTCTTGCTAGATCTTACGCTGACAATGTGCTTTCTTAGGGTCATAAGCTGCCCAGGAGAAAGGCAGCATTCTAAGTAATGGGATACTCCTGAAATCCCAAAACAGAACCCACAATGGGAACATCCAACCCATTCCCAAAACACCCAAGACAAGATGGGTCTGCCCACGAGGACTGGGATACCCAAAGACAATTCAGTTTGGACAATCACTAGAGAAGTTCAATCCAAACATACACAATCACCCGCATTCTCTGACAAAAGGAATATGGTTGCCACAGGTTAAAGCCTTGCTTATATGGGACATAGTTCTCTTTTGGAGATTACTAGAAGAACAGTTACATGTGTGACTGTCTTAGAGCAATTGCTTCTTTTTTTCTTGCCTGACCTTGGTAGACCAGAGAACTCATCCCATAAAATGGAGATAGGCAAGAGGGGTTGCAGTGAATTTTAACTTCTATCTTTTTTTTTGAAATATGCCTTATTACTAAATATTGAGTTGTCTTGTAGGGCTAGGGTCATACATTTAACCAGACAAACTTTAAATAGTATGATAGGGCATGGAGTAATTGGGAACATGAGTGAGGCTGATTGGACCCCTTGCTAGGCACTACTGTCTCTATTTCTACTGGTAATTGACATGTTTGTCTTGTGAATTCTTGTGATTTTTAAGCAGGGAGATTTTCCCCTTCTGTAAGAACCATTTGCAGAGAGATGACCGTGGGAGACATGCAAGGAGGTCATAGTTCATCTTTTGGTTCTCTCCTATGTTTTAAAAGGAGTCAATTTAGTATTTCTAGGAAGAGACTAGGAAACCACAGCCTTGATGAAAGGATACTAAGCCAACAAGACTAATGAAAAATGGAACATCTCAATATAATCACCCTGTGTGGCCAGTGACAAAAGCTAATGGGATCCGGAGGCTTACAGTGGACAGTTGCCAACTGAATTGAGTTAACATGACAGCACTGGCTGTTCCAGTTTATAGCCTGCAATCCTGGGCACTGTGATTATAAATAAATCAACTAACAGTGATCGCACATGCTTCAGCATGTTGGACTTATATCTTAGTTACTTTTCTATTGCCATGAAGAGACCTATAAAAAAGCATTTATTGGGGATTTAGTTATAGTTTCAGAGGGTAAGTCCGTGACCATCATGACAGGAAGCATGGCAACAGGCAGGCAAGCATGGCAACAGAGAAGTAGCTGAGAGCTTACATCTGATCTACAAGCAGGAGGCAAAAAAAGGCAGAGAGAGAGGGAGACTGGGCTTTTGTAAACTCAAAGCCCACACCATGCCAGGGAGACACCTCCTCCAAGACAACACCTTATAATTCTTCCCCCAAAACAGTTCTACAAATGAGGGACCAAGCATTCAAATATATGAACCTATGGGGGCTTTTCTTATTCAGACCACCACAGTTTCCATACTTCATTTTTCTCAAGCCTATTGACTCTTTCCCTGACTCAGTACTCCAGATCATGTTATTGTGCAGCCAAAGCAGAAGAATTATGGACAATCATGAGTCACTCCATGTGTGTGCTGGGAACTGAATTGAGATCCTCTGCAGGAGCAGTAAGTACCTGGTCTTAGCAATTCAACCATCCCTTCAGCCCCTGAAGTACTGTTTGAATTCTCCTGCAGTTTGTCACTATATGGGAGAATCAAAACACAAGCCAACCCTGTTTTCTCAAACCTGAGCTGGCACCATTATGTTCATGGTTTTGTGTTCATAGGCTCCCAGTAAATGATCTTGGGAAGCTCATTAGGTCTGATAAGACACAATGATAAACCATTTATGTCAAAGCCCTTAGAGAAAAATATGGTCCAATCCTAGAGACATCAATGCAATCATTTCTACCCTTGGCTTACCACGATCAAAAAGGAAGTCTGGTACTGAATGGAACTGTTTAGATGTTATCTGTGCATCCATCCTGTTGAATTAAATGGGAGTTTCATCAAATTTGGCTGTGAACTTAAGCAGTAGGTGTGACATCGGAAACTATCCCAATAGATCAGACAGAAGCCCTTTTTGAATTGAAGGTCTCTGGGAATGGAGTCAGCCCCTAACCAGCATTACATAACCCTTGGGATTGCAAACCCATTATGTCCTGACACCTGACATTAGCCACTTTGTCAGTGGAAGAAATGCCTTAGACCCTGAAGATACAGGGAGGACATAATAACATTCCTGTTATCTCACAGCTTCAGTCTGGCCAAACAAACTCATGACTCACCAGAAATTAGCAGTGGCCTGCCAACTGTGCTATTGCTGCATTTACTGCCTCTGTCCACCTGCTGTGGGAGCAGAACTGCTGTTGGCAGGCTTGGCTCTCAATGATCCCACTGTGCCTGATGTTATTAGAGGCAACTCTAGACAACGAAACCCTCTTGCATGTGAACTCACAGAGAGTTACGTTA